CAGCTGGCAAGGCAGTATCACAATCTACAATTATCTCTATCTCGATCTCAATTGTGCTACGTGCTACCAGCATGTTATTAGAAAGATTTTCTAATTTTCTATTCCTGTTGAAATATAGGGCATTGGCGTGGTGAGTATCCATCATATCCAACGTGTGGGAAAAAAGTCCAGCAGTTCCATTAAAAATCGCTTTATTTCACGAATCTATGGATAGTCCGAACGTACCTTAAAGCAAATTTACATGCTTTGATTCAATTGTATATGTGTTCTTTATTACTGCAAAGCATAATTGATAAATACAATTCAAATAATCAAGCTTATTATTTTTAAGGTTAAATTTGATTTCGGTAAATTCTCACAGACTTGGCAACGTCGGGTAAATATCTGCACATTGTATAGAGATTCAATTCATTCATTAAGGTGTTATATCCTTCAGGATGTTGGGATATCCGTGGATGTCATGGTGACGGGTAAGCAGGCAGAGCATGTGAGGATAAAGTAAAGTTTGAAACTCCGTGCTGGGTTTTATTTTAATTGTTCATCCTCCAGTCTGTCACCAGGGGCGCTCAGATCACAGGGATCATTCATATATATTAATGTGTATAAAACTTCATCTAAAATATATCTTCGTATAAAATAAATCTTTCACTTATATATATATATATATATATATATATATATATATATATATATATATATATATATATATATATGTATGTATATATATAAATACTGTAAATAATCACATCACATACATATCATTGGTATTTATAATATAGGATAATGACTGTAGTTTACTCTTATCCTTACACAGGACGTCAGTAATTACGCAACGCCATCTCTCTATTCCTCTGAATATTCGTATATATTTTTTTCTGTTAGTTTTCCTCTCGCTTATGTACCTTCAATCATTCCTGTCAGTGGATCATATTCCAGGCTTGCTTCTCTAGCGATGTAACACCAAAAAATAAGTTTTCTCTCTTACCATTTTTATTAATTCTCTTTTCTCCCCATGTTTCACGTCCACATAGGAGAATCCACCGCATGTAGGTTTTGGTATCTTTTTCTTGATGCTATGGAAATTGATCAGTTGGATAATAGCCATCAGTTTCAAGAAGGATGTTTTTGCCAATCCTATACACTTTGAGGCTTTGTTTTTACGTCTTGGAATTTATTTTCTTTTTACGAATTTGTTGGTATTGAGAAAGATATTTGACTTGGGATTTTCTCTTTTACTAATAACCATCGTTAACGTTTTCATTTAGCCCTAGGCCCCCTCCTCTGCTGGCTTCACCACTAGCTATCGTAAATCCTGTTCTAGGGACGGGCACACAAACGCATTACGGCGCCGTATCTCCTTAAGGCGCCTTAGCTTACGACCGCCTTAGCTTACGACCGACTGTTCCTACGACCCATACACAAAGCAAGGGAGACTCGCCATTGGTACAAGTTAAGGCCCGTAGACTAAGGCAGGGTTCAAAATTACTCGGAATGATTTTTATTATTTGGCTCGTGATGGTTATAGTTCTGTGTTTGTTATAATCAATGGTTCCTGAGGATTATGGCATTGTAATGGAGACAGCCTTGCACATTTCGCGGCTCATTTGTATCTGTCATATAAACTGCTTGTTATTTCCGTCCGTTTCTGTAATCCATGGGTTTCGACATTCTTTATAATATATAAGATTGGCTATTTCCGTTGAATTCTGTAATCCAGATCTCTAATTCTATTGTAATGCTAATTAAAATTCTACTAATTATATTCTATGAATTGATTAATTCTACTATTTCCCCAGAAGCTTCCTTCTCCTTTTGCCGGTTATTGCGTGTTTTGTTTCGTTTATTTCGATTTTCGTTCCTTCTTCAACTTGTGGTTCTATATATTCCCTTCCTTATTCATTTTGATATAGATCTTCCACGAATTCCTTTCATCTATCCTTTATTTGTTGTTTTTTTCGATTAAAACCTCCCTATCCTTTGCTTTATCATCATTAGGAGTTAACGCCGACGAGGGCGCATAGCCGCGTCCACCTTTTGGGATCCCTCATGGCAAGTCGCCAGGCAGGGGCCCGGCCCATCTCGAGCTCTTCCTGACAGGTTTGATCGATCTGCCCAAGCCACGACCTCCTAGGTCGTCCCACAGGCCTCCTTCACCCAGGGTTGTCTCCTACAGAGAACCTAATGAGCAGGATCAGCCTGTGGAAAGCGAGCCAGGTGGCCATATAGCCTGAGTTGGCGATCCCGGATTGTGCAGGTAACAGGTCCTGTGCCAGTCTCAGGGTGCAGCCGTTGGTTAGACATATGGTCCCGCCAACAGTACCCCATGATCTGGCGCAAGGACCTATTACAAAAGGCATGAAGACGAGACTCCAGGGCACTGGATAATGGCCAGGTTTTACTACCGTAGAGCAAAACTGGCATTATCAGGGCCCTGAAAACCCGTAGCTTGGTCCTTCTGCACAGGTACCGGCATCTCCAAATACTCTTGTCGAGAGAGTTCGTGAACCCTGCTGCCAGGGCAATCCGTCTGCTGACTTCCTGGTCTGACAGCCCAGAGTTATGAGCTGCACTACCAAGGTAGGTAAAGCTCTCTGTGATTTCAATGTCCTTGCCTCAAGCACGCACCGACCGAACTGGTTCTCCTAGCAAGTCCCCAAAGTCCTGAATCTTGGTCTTGGTCCAGGAGACCTCTAGACCCAAGGGCTTCGCTTCATTCCTAAATGCATCGAGAACCACCACTAGGGTTTCCAAAGACTCAGATAGAATAGCAACATCATCGGCAAAGTCAAGGTCTGTAACCTTAATATTACCCAGTGTTGCTCCACAATGACTTTGAACAGTAGCTCTGCCTAGTATCCAGTCCATGCAAGTGTTGAAAAGGGTTGGTGCAAGAACACAGCCTTGCCTCACTCCTGAACTAACAGGAAAAAAGCTCGACAGGCCCCCACCACACTTTACAGCACTTTCAGTACCAGTATATAGGTTTGCTATTAGTTCAATAATCCCTGTTGGAATTCCTCTCAGTCTCAGGATCTCCCAGAGTGATTCCTGATACACTGTATCGAACGCCTTCTTGAGGTTGATGTAGGCTGCAAGCAACCCACGTCCGAACTCACGACGGCGCTCTACAATGACTTGAAGCACAAGAATACGGTCTATTGTGGACTTACCAGAAGTGAATCCGGATTGCTCTGGCCTCTAATACCTTAGTAGATGGTCTCTAATACGCCTCAGAGGATGCGGGCAAGAACCTTGCCTGGTACACTGAGCAGTGTGATGCCGCGATGATTGCTGCAATCCCATCGGTCCCCCTTCCCCTTCCAGAGAGGGATGACCACTACCCCTCAACAGGCCAGAGGGAACGGTACCGGACTGCCAAATGGCAGCCAGGACAGCATGCAATCCCTGCGCCATAGGTTCACCACCAGCCTTTAACAGTTCAGCTGGGATGCCGCAAATACCCGCTGCTTTACCACTCTTCAGCTTGGAGATCACCTCCCTAACCTCAGCTAGGGAGGGTGGGTCCTCGCTAATGGCTGGGTCCGGCAGCGGAATCACGGCACTACCCACATCCAAGTTAACTGTTGGAGGGTCAACCTGATACAACTGCTCAAAGTACTCAGCCCAACGCTCCCTCACCGCAACAGGATGTGAGACGATCTGGCCACCCACTAAGCGAACTGCAGTCACCTGTGAAGAGGGCTTGGAGTTCAGTTTTCTCAGGGCTTGGAATGCAGGATGAAGGTCATTTACTGCGAAATGGCCTTCGACCTCCTCAGCAAGATTCCTAATAAACTGTTCCTTGTCCCTTCTTAAGTTCTGCGCACCTGAGAACGGTGCAAATCCCGATCCCCTGCCAGACGAGCCGCACGGCAAGCATCAGTAGCTTCCAGTGTCTCCTGAGAGATTGAATTCTGTCTTGCTCTTGGGCGTTCTCCAATTGATTCTTGGGCTGCATCAAGCGTTTCACGCTTGAAGGTGTCCCACAGAAGTACAGGGTCCGTTAGGTTGTCGGGAAGAGCTCGAGATGGGCCGGGCCCCTGCCTGGCGACTTGCCATGAGGGATCCCAGAAGGTGGACGCGGCTATGGGCGTTAGCTCCAGATGATGATGATCTATATATATATATATATATATATATATATATATATATATATATATACACATAAATATCCATATAAATACACACACATGCATATATATGTATGTATATACATATATGTGTGTGCATACATATGTGTATGTATACATATGTGTATATATATATATAATATATATATATATATATATATATATATATATATATATATACGGTATATATAAATCAAGAACTGCATGCATATGGTATCCACCTAATCACCGCAGTAATCCTCATCAAGATCTAAGTATTCGTTACAGACAGCGTTATACAACATATCAGCGACTTGTTCCACGAAAATATAGCCAAGATGGCCAATATCATCGCATTTCCACTCGAACATAGGGGGCGTGGTCTTGTGGTGCTGCAGACAGGCGTCAGTGTACTGAACAGACAGAGGTAACGTGCTGTCCCAGATAGTCACACCGGTTCCCTGTAGTTGGTGCAGGGCCATTCCGTTGACCAGGTTGATGGTTTTCTCACTATACTTGAATCTTCTTTTTCGCGTTGCCTATAAAGGAAATGGAAGTTGTTTGGCTTAAGGCAGGCTAACTGAATTTACGGTATGCAAATGTGGACTGCATAAGTTAGAACTCCTCTTCCCATTCCCATCCATGATACTGAATTCTAAGAAAAGGGCTCCGGTGTATCACCCACCTGGGTATCATCAATGAGTTTGTAATAAACGGGGACACTGGATGCAAGACGGGTAAAGTATGGCGTCAGTTTGTTAAGTGTCTTATTATACTGGATACCTTCCCTGTCTGCACGCTTTGCTATGTGATGAAGGCCGCCATCTGTGCAAAACATGAAAATCATATTTTGAAATTGGAGATATAGGAAAGTGAATAGCAAAAAATTATGTGACTGAAGTATAAAATTTGATGTAATGTGCACCGCACAAATTTCCTCTCACTCTCTCTCTCTCCCATATCCTTTTGAGATTTAATCTTTTGTCTCAGTAAACTTGTCGAAGTCAAAAAAGTCTCTTTCCCTCTCCCCCCTCCTCTCTCTCTCTCTCTCTCTCTCTCTCTCTCTCTCTCTCTCTCTCTCTCTCTCTCTCTCTCTCTCTCACGCAGATATGGTATGATAAAACTTGATATAAGCTACCGACGTGTCAGTAAAACAGCTTCTGACAGAAAGGGCTCATACGGACCTATGACAACAATGGTCGGTTTGAGCTCCTCTCCCTTCTCCCAGCGGTCCATAAGGCGTGGGAAGGATTCGAGGAAAAAGTCCACATAGTAGGTGAGTCTAATGGGAATGGACAGGTGTTTCGTCTCGAGGATGGACTTCAACTTCTCCACCCGCATGTGGATCAGAGCTTGGACTCCTTTCCATGTCTGTTGAGAAAAGGTACTGTCATCATTCCCTCTCCCGACAAGTCTCCGAAGCTTGTGAGGAAAAGACTGATGGGGATTTGTTCAGCACAGTGTTCCCAGTGGGAAAGAGTGAAATTAATTTCAAATGATACCTTGTTCACCAGAAAAGTAACCCCATGACCTTTGAAAATTAATAATAAAATATCCCTTCGATATAAATTCATATATATTCATTATAGCTTTGAGTAACTTTCTGATAACCTATTGCGTTGCCTGGTAGAAGCGCTGCTTTGCACATATAGTAAAAAGAAAGATTACAAGGTACTGAAAGTACTACAAAAAGTGCAGCACGCGAGGAGACCACACATGCTTTCCTTTAAAATATCTAGTTTCATCGTGACCATAGTTTTGAAAAAGCGGTCAGATGCTGCAGAAAAATACAAATCTTAGACCAAATGAAAAAGGATATTAATGAAAATTTGACATTATCAGCGGCATAGATCCGTACATTGTCGTAAACTCGACTGACGGGAACAGGCTGAGAAGGACAACGTACCCAGACTTTGTAAATCATTTGCTATTTACACCAAGCTCATACACAGCCGAAGACCTTATCATAAAGGTCTTTTTCTATTTAGACAAAGAGAACTGGTCAGACGGTGGTGGGTGTGGTCTACAGGGTCATGAAAGAGTACAGAGAAACAACTAGATTAGTTCGATCCAGTAACAGGACAAATCACGGTAAAATATGTCGAGCATGACGTGTACATTAGAAATGACAAATGGCAGTTTTCATTGGTGGGGTACCCTTGGCAGAGCCCAAAACTAAAACATAAAAATCAAGCTAGATCAGCTTATATGGTAATAGCTTAAGACCAACCTCAAATGATGCAGCTATGCCTTTATAATGTGACTTTTTGCCCGTATAATAACACGTAATGAACCTGAATATACATTTATTGCTGAATAATATTACTTTTGTCTACACTAACATCTTTGGCAGCAAAATTAACACATAACGAGTGTCAAATGAAGACCGCGTGGCCTCTGAGACATCATGCTCCATGTGGCAGCCATACAAGCATAATTTTGTGCGTCATTTGCATCCAAAATGGTGTCAACGCGAGGTTTCACATAGCTTGTGCATCTATCCTCAGGCCCCTGGCCTTGGCTAGACTTTGCTACCGCTCAAGCACCGTTCTAGTGTACATTACCTTGTGTTTACCAGTGTGTTGTAATTTTTCTTAGACCAAGCCCTACATACCACTCTATCACTGACCAACCAGTCACCAGTCGGAAGCCCTCTACACACAAAAGAGCCTCTTACACGTCTATTGTGCAGCGTTGAGCCAGGACTGGTTCCATATAAGGCGATAAATCGACATATCTACAAGAGCTCTGTAAAAGCTAGTAGTATCGGAATCCACATAAAGATGGATCCCAATACTCAAGGGATTTTGATACACATCTCTTGGAGCAGACGAAGTAGGTGTTTTCATTGACTGGGTGACATTTACTTGTAAATCAAATAATATCTTTGTCTTTATTTTGCGGCAGGTATTTTACTGTTGAAAGTGATTTTACATTTTTTTGATCTGCATGGGTCTGAAACCAAAATGTGATGCACATACAACTAAAGGGAAAAAATGGAGAATTAGCTTAAAGACTGGCCATATCTATAGTTTACCATCACAACTTAATAACGATTTCATAACCCTCTTTACCTTTTTTTCTCTTCGTCTATATCGCAGTTCTGGACTTGCTAGCCGAAACGACACAGCATTGTATATATACCGCATATGTGAGTCTCCAATAAAAACAAGATGAAGTGTTTCCTTTGAGCTTGAGTTCCTGTACTGTAAACTGTTTGAAGAGATTTAAAAGCTGCATCAGAAAGTGTTGAAGATGATGAAATTTCGGTAATTTGTAAGTGAAAACGAGTTATCCGTGGCATTTTCTAACCAACTAGCTAATTCTTTCAAACATTACACCCCAAAAACTGATCCATCAGTCACCACTAAATGCACCGAATGACAAACTCACTTCTGGGAAGTATTGAAAGCTTGAGCGCACTTCTCAACTTCAGCGAAACCGTACTTCTTCATCTTGCAACACACATTTGTAGCGCTGATATTGTCGTAGTTGTAACAGCTCTTTTTAAATATCGGATGCCTTGTCTGTATTTCCTGAGGTACTGGGTCCTTAATTCTCTGAAGAACCACTGGACGCTCCTCGAAGTTCTGAGGGACGCGCCCCAGCCAGGGCAGCAGAGTCAGCAAAGCCACCAAGACAACCAGGATACATTTTTTAACTGCTGGTTTCATTTCTGAAACGAGTCGAAAAATGCTGTTCCTTACACTAGAACTGTGAATTAGTAAGGATTAAGTACTTTTGACTTCGTTAAAGATTTTGCTTGAAGGTGAGAGAAAAGCTGTATATTCATGCAGCGGTGGATCTGTGAGCTCATACACATAATAATGATAACTAAAATAATGATCTGAAAATAGGCCTGGACACTCCAACTGACTGGGCTAATTACGCTTTGCATTAGCCTCTTCCCTCCCCACATCACACAGCTTCCCCTTTGATACTGTTTTATACCCGCCACTGTATGCAGTCTGATATATGGATGGAGTAGTAAAACCTGATAAGGATAAATATTTTTTGAGAAGACATATAATTTAGATCCATGATTTTTCCAGGTTTTGCAAGCTTCAACAAACGTGTAGATTTTTGGATGCACTTCTAATACTAATACTATGAAAAAAAAATCCACAATTGGAAACAATTTCTGTGTCCTGTTTGGCTAGCTATGACACCAACTGGGTGACGTCACTAAGCTCCACCTTATTTTGACAGCTGCTACTTGTGAGGGAGGAAAGTGGCTTATTTTTTTATGTGTTGACATTCTATGCAATATTGTTATGTGCTTTACGCCTTTCCCGTGATAATTCAAATGACATATCATGCCTTTGAATTTCATTCAAGGAGCTCAGTGATTCTACAGATTGCAAGCACAACAATTCACTGAATATTCATAATTAATTCACGTGGTTTATGTTTGCTCTAGGCCTAAAGTTGGTTACATTATTTGATTGAAATCTGACCACAGATATAAGGATCTACAAAAAGCTAAGGTAATTTTGGTAGTGTAAGTGCCGAGCGCACGCAATAGCTCTGTCAAAGTGGGGCGTGGCTTAGACAGGCGCCCGAAGCGAGATGCCAACTATACAATTTCTCTCCTCTCCAGATGCAACTATGTTATTATATCCTTGGAGTTTCCGAGCAATTTCCGAATGGAATCACATGATAAATAATCGATTTTTAAAGACCTATAGTCAACCTGATGGTCACAGATAACGTAAAATTATAATTTCATTCATTTATAATTCATATGAGACATGAACCCTTTCTTCCACTGATAAGAAACTGATTTACGACACTAGAAATGCCCCGGGCCAGTCGCGACAGAAATACTACCAATGTTCCTACGCTGTTGCAACAGGTGCGGCTCCACCCCCGTTCCTAGGAATCATACTCAAATTAACGAATTTGATTTTGTTTTTTAATTATATTAATTAACAAATCACTGTTTTATGATATAACATTAGGAAATAACAGTAAATACAAGTTGTTAGTTATCAAAACTATAAATGAAACGATGGAAAACTATCGAAATCAGTTGAAAATGTGTGGGACCTAAGCACCTCCCATCATACTTTTCCCTTTGTCTATCGACACCGATTTCGAAGGTCACACTTCTTGAAATATTTGGAAACTGACACTATTTATTAATTGATATTGACTACATTTAAAAGGTTATAAGTTTATGTCTGCATATTCAATTATCCATACATAACATGTAAAATGATTATGTAGAACCTAATATAAACATCATACATAGTTAGTTTGATCTATGAGCAAAACATTTCGAAAATGCAAACCTCCCCCCTCCCTCCCATGGGGGGTAGTTTTGCCAAATGTTCCAGATCACCACCAAAATTTTATGGAATATTAATTAGGCTAAGACAAACCTCAGGTAAAAAAATTATTCAAATCTGTTCATAACTTTTCGAGTTAGAAAAAAAATCCTGGATCCAAACCATGGTCCGCATCACCACCAAACTACAATAAGCGTCTAAGTTAGGTTAAAACTCACCTTTGGTTAAAATCTCGTTAAAATGTGTTCAAAACTTTTAGAAATATTAGAAAACACAAACTAACAAACAAAAAACAATTAAACAATCAACAAACAAACAAAGAAAAAAACGGAAGTAACAATATAAATAAACAAAAGGTCATGGGGTACACGAAAATTATCTATATGTGCTCATATACCTTTATATACATACTTTCACATCGCCATGTAATTGTTTTTCGTCTTTCCACGGGGTCTGAGAGTGAAATTTGGCAACGTGACCCCGTAGAGTTATTCCGCAGATTTAAAAAGACGATTTTCATGGTCCAGTATGCGTTTGGTTCCCGTCCGACTGGAGAAAAGTTATTCTTTCGACAAATATTATACGTTGTAAAACCCATTAGAGCATCAATAATAGGTAAATGATAGATAATTATATCAAATACAAGTATTCTGTACATGATTTGTCATGTAAAATGTAAACATAATAAAAAGGAATAAGATCGCGATTATTAGGTCCTTCATATTT